AATAGTAACAACAATTAGGTAATCATTGGCTGTCGCGGGCCAGATTGATGACAGTAAATCATTGGCTGTCGCGGGCCGGATTGATGACACTGGCGGGCCGGATTTGGCCCGCGGGCCTTAGTTTGGAGACCCCTGATATAAACAATAAATTAAATTTTAAAGAACATGCATCCCATTTGAGTAAAAAAGGTTCTAGTGTATGTTATGCTCTGAGGGTGATATCAAATGAACTAGGTTACACTACAGCTAGAATGACTTACTTTGCATTGATCGAATCTCATATTCGCTATGGAATAGCTTTCTGGGGCCATTGTAATTTACAGTTACAGAATACGATACTTGTGCTTCAGAAGAGGTCTTTGAGATACCTTACAAAGTCTAAGCCAAGAGATCACTGCAAGCCTTTATTCATCAGCCACAAAATATCAACTGTCACCTATTTATACATACCAGTATGCTTAATTCATAAAAATAAAACTATCATATACACTTCCGGAACAAATTGTCACAACACCAGACAGAACCATATGCTTTACTTACCTATTCCAAAAATTCGCTTTGACTCAGCATTCTCTGATTTATGAAAGTATCAAAGTATATAATCACCTTGCTACCATTCTAAAAAATAGCACAGATATCGTTCTGAAGTACAGTTAATGATCTTTTAATCGTGGAAATTATTTTTCTATCCATGAATTCTACAGTGATAACCTGTGAATTCTACTTGATTTTTCAATGTTCACCTAAACTCATCTGTCTTCTTAATGTTTTATTTGTGAAATTGCAATGTTTGTACTTTTTATATTTCAAGACATGCATTTTATTTTTTTACAAGACTTTGTCAATAAGATACTAAGCTTCCAACAATTAAGCATATATTGATTGATTGATTGATATATTTGTATGAAGTATCTTTCTCGAAGGGGCCCAAAATGAACCACCTTAAATATTAGCATATTATGAACAACGTGAATACTATTATTTTTATCGATTCAATTGCATATCTTCATTCACTAAAGTTATGAGCTGTCCTATTATTTTGGGTGTAACTAACGGTTGGAAATAAACTCTTATCTGTTATTTGGATTTTCAAGGTATAATAAACTAGATAATCCAACATCCTGAGTTGACTGAATTTACAAGTTTCGTTCAACAAATAAAAGAAACTTAAAATTGCTGTGGTTTTGTCACAAACCATACATACTTTTAATTGAATGATACGAATAGAGCTTGTTAAGGTTAAGATGTGATGATTTAAAAAAAGGGGCTTACAGGGACCTTGCACTTGGAATTGTGAGAACTTGACCCATCAAGTTTTGACAGCTGCTCCACCAGAAACAAACTCTGTACCACAAGCGGGATTCGTAAAGTGCAAAGTATGGTTTTCTTGCCGAGTGATAGTCCAAAGAGTTAGAGATAGACCTGATTGTTCAACAACTTGGGATAGTTTTTTGCATAGTATACTAGCATGGGGTCCCAGCAAAACATACTGCATTCGTTTTCTGAATATTTTGAATGTTGATTTGAATAGCCTGGACACCATTCATTTCTAACTCAAACGTTTCAAGTTCATCCCTAATTAGAACACTTATACAAACACAACATTGAAACGAACAGACAACCAAAAGAAATTAAATATATCGAATTCAACGTACCTTCTGGGACGAAAAAAACGGATAATTTATTGAATATGGTATTATTTTTGACTTTCATTTTATTAATACAATTTGTACAATTACATGTGAATTATGTTGAGACAAAAAGTTTGTTGTCAAGCAATATTTGAAGGTTCGTTCAACATACTCAATAATAAAGGAAAGACGCACACACTGCTTCATTTCCTTGCTCAAATCTGATAGTCAGTCACCGAATTACAGTCGTTTAAAATGTGTAAAACACTTATTTAATAATTTTAGTCAGTCAACCAATTGAAATTACGATGAGACATCAAAGTAGGCGTTCTGAATGCTTTCGTGTATAATCTGATTAACGACATGCGTAGCCACGTGTAGTGAATATATTTTCTAATCTACGAAGTACAAAAACTATGCAAAACTCGAAAATATTATATTTCCTACTTGGCAACATTCTTTTGGTTCTATAAAGTTTCTACAATATTTCAAAACTGTTTTGGCGTTTTACACGCCAATTTGGAATTGTTTACGATTCGATTGCATATCTTCATTCACTAAAGTTATGAGCTGTCCTATTATTTTGGGTGTAACTAACTGTTGGAAATAAACTCTTATCTGTTATTTAGATTTTCAAGGTACAATAAACTAGATAATCAAACATCCTGAGCTGACTGAATTTACAAGTTTCGTTCAACAAATAAAAGAAACTTACAAATTTCAAGAAACTTATAATTGCTGTGGTTTTGTCACAAACCATACTTTTAATTGAATGGTATGAATAAAGCTTGGGACTATGGGGGCCATATCATGACAAGGTCAGGAGGGGTTATTGATAGAAATGAATAGTTGGTTGTCAAAAGTTTTTCCAGTATGAAGACTGTTAAGATGTGATGAATTAAAAAAAGGGGCTTACAGGGATCTTGCACTTGGAATTGTGAGAACTTGACTCATCAAGTTTTGACAGCTGCTTCCCCAGAAACAAACTCTGTACCACAAGCGGGATTCGTAAAGTGCAAAGTATGGTTTTCTTGCCAAGTGATAGTCCAAAGAGTTAGATATAGACCTGATTGTTTAACAACTTGGGATAGTTTTTTGCATAGTATACTAACATGGGGTCCCAGCAAAACATACTGCATTCGTTTTCTGAATATTTTGAATGTTGATTTGAATAGCCTGGACACCAGTAATTTCCAACTCAAACGTTTCAAGTTCATCCCTAATTAGAACACTTATACAAACACAACATTTGAACGAACAGACAACCAAAAGAAATCAAATATATCGAATTCAACGTACCTTCTGGGACGACCTCTTTTGCAACAGTAAATCTCCCTTATTATTGAACAGAAACACACTAAATGCCCTATGCAAGGGAATGTCTCCATTCTTCTGAACCAAATGACATTCTTTCTTGCTGGCTTGTCCTATGATTTTGTCGTTTTCGTCGACCAGGAAGCACCTTTCGTTCAAGGAGGCCTCTTGCACTGGGTCCAAATGCTCTTTCGATTTTGCCAAAGAGCTTGCGAAACCTCTGCCTACTGTGCGGCTGATCGCAGTCCTCAATGTCAGAGTTAACATTTCGAGCGGAAGGTAACACCTGCAATGATAAGGATCTCACATATTTTAAATAACTAGGTGTGTTTCAATGTTTGTCAAATTCATGTGTAAATATGGCTCGGGGCTTTACCTAAGGACGTGAGCTACTGAACTGAGGTGACATATAGGAGGTTCATGGGTTATAAGTGTCACAAAAGTACTGTATAATTAAGTTTTATGCAAATTAGTTGACTATTTTTATATTTCAATTTACGATTTTAAATAAGAGCCTGACATAGAAACATCGTGACGTTGACAGATTAGATCCGAGCGCGTTTGACATTTAAATATTTACAATTTGGAAAATATTTGTCGACGAGGGCGCTAATGTCTTCAACAAATCGTGACTTTAAACGGTAAAGAGCTGATCTCGTACAGCTGAAGATGAAACATATGTTTATTGTTTGGCGTTTTGCTGAATTTTAAGCTATCAAGTTGTGAGATAATGAGCGTAGTTTTTCGTAGAACTAATCACTAGGTAGCAAACGTGAAGTACAAGAAACCGCAACGATTTTGTGAGACATCTGAAGTTCATTATAGAGTTGAAGTTCATCAATCGGGACTTCGTTCCCGAATGATGAACTTCAACTCTAATAAAAACACCCGAATTTGGCTTATTCTCGATAAAACCTTCCTTGACGATTACTTACGGCATTTTGTTGAGAAACCTTATTTTCCTTTGTCTCTCATAGATCGAGTCATTCTTTGTTATATCATCAAGTAGGAAAACGATCAAGGAATAACTGTAAAATATATAAGCCAAGTTGGGAAGTTAATTTATCCTGTTGAACTTTTTGTAGTTCAATATTTATTATATCTGAATATCGGAGTTGAGAAATAGGAAATATTGAATGGAAACGTTACTTCACTTCAATAAATGACTTACCAATCCCTCATCATCTTTCACAGAGATTGCACTTGTTGTTGAACATGTCACCATTCACCCACATAATTTCAAATTTCAAGATTTATCATGAAAATTTCCTTACTTTCAATATTCTCTTCCACATAACAATACTTACATAACAGATATTTTGCGGAAAACATTTTTGTATGCACAAAACACAAGCGCTACAGGAATCAGTGAAGTAACAAACATATTTTGTAGAAACCTCAACATATACCTTTGACGTTTCCTATGCTTTCCTTGAGTTTCATAGCGTCATCTTGCGGCAAATATTTCCTGGAACATTGTTGTGGATTATAGGTTATGTCGGTGGTCAAACGTCATAGGGAATAAAACTGTCAATTTGAATGCGCGTTTTCGCACAGAACAAAAATGTAAACACCAAATCGGTTTTAAAATGGAAAAAAAAAAAGTTACAGTAAAGCCATGTTTATCATGCAAAATTGTTTCGGTTTGTTGCCTCTGCGGCATTGGCATTTATTTGATACAAAGTGCCAAATTGTATAAAGGAAACTCCAAAATACCTCTGTACATTTTAGGACTTGGTAATGAGGTGAAAAAAAATAATCACCAATCATTATTTTAAAATATATTTCAGGAAGCATTGGACTAGGGATTGGCGAAATATTTGATAAATCACCATTCAGAACAGTGAGCCAAGATCAAAGAAATTGAAGTTGCCGGAGCTGTATGTATGAAGGTTATTTTTTGGGTTTGCCGACGTCTTGTCCTGCAGTTTTTTATCTCCGACGTTTCGTCCACAGCCGCGGTAGACACCGAAAGTCTGTATGCGCCGTAACTGCATCCTATAGCATTTGTAGACGAAACGTCAATCTTAAAAACCTACAGGTTCCTAGCAACAAAACCGGAAAATATCTTTGCCACGGCTTGGATGAGAAGTAAATCGTGTTTGACTTTTGTAACATAGCTCAAGAAAAATAATAAACACCGATTTCTTATTCGTCTCAATTTAATATAAAACTCAAAGTTCGATTCACACACAATGTTTCTGCCTCCATATATATTTATTCAGTCTAGTTTCCCGATTTAGAATCCGACTTTCCCCAGCTTCGTATCAGTTTTAGGATTCGCAGTAATGCACTGGATGGCTACGATGAGTTCGTTAGCTCTCGTTTGGAGTTCCCTTAGATCCTGAATGTAGATCATTCGCAGAATTTTCGCTGCTTGGTTCAAGACCGGATCTCCCAAATCAAAACCGAGATCTGCTTCTTGAATGGGAAAAGGTGTTCCCTGAAACATAAAATCAATTGAGTCAATCACTGTATGCTTTCCAAAGATATGTACTCACAGTTAGGATATATTTTTGGGGATTCGCAACACAGTCAGGGGCCATTCTTTTCGTCACTACTTTCCTCACCGCTCTCAGAGTAACAAAGGGATCACTGTGGGGTACAATTTTCAAAATTTTGGCTAGACCATTGATGCCATCCGTAAACTCTTTGCTACTAACTGAAAAGAAAATCATATAACTCACGTTTAATGTGAATAAAGTACTCAACACATACAGTCTAATTTATCCAGAGAATTCTCTGCTACCACACTAGGAACATTGGTTTTCTGAAGGTTCTCGACAGCATGTTTCAAATACTTGCTCTCTGAAATAAAAAAAAAATTATTATCACCCAATCCATCATTACCAGACACTTACTGTTGCTCCTTGCTTCGAGCTGAACTGCGTAACCAAGAAGCCAATGTAGTTCTTCTAGTTTCGTTTCGAAAACTGGACAGCTTATTTGTTGCTTGTATTCAGTGTACACTCTGTCCCAATCCCTCGAATTGGTATTCTTCAGAAAATTCACTACGTTAGGAGGGGCGTTCCTGATTTTGTTGACTTCCAACCATACTATCACAGTTCTAAAAGTCTTCTCATCTGGAAAGGATCATACCATGTCTCGAAGCGCCGGTATCTTTGATTTGTTTTTCTTACCATTCAAGTTCAGATTGTCTGCTTGGGGGTAATCCAGAGCAGTGAGAAGCCTTTTCGACATTTTTAAATACTATTTCAATACTTTTTATTGATTGTGTATACTTAATTATTTCTGCTTGAAATATATCCTAACTTTTGAGAAAGTGTCTTTTGTTTGACAGCACTGACAGCAGTTTGTAGACACGAGAAAAGTCACTTGTCACATTCGTACCATGGACATTACAAATGAAAACTATAGACTGGCTTTAGAAAGAGAAGGAAAAGGGTAACATAATGGGAAAAAGATGGAATATTTTGTCAGTTGTATCACTCTGAGCCTCTGAGAAAAAAATAATTTATTATTATTATCATGCATCATTTTATCTTTCAGTCTTTCTTCATCTAATGTTATCCGCATAAAAAGGTATCACTTGAGCAAAGTGACATATTTTGTGATCTGTGATTCAAGTGACGGAACAACCGATCCAACAGATACAATATCTATGGACACCACAGAACTCTAAGTTATAGTTCTGTGATGGACAGCATCGACATAACCTTAATCGGTGATTGACACAGTAGATTTCGTCATAGACTAAACTGGATGGACTGGCCATGAGAGAGAACATCGATGCGCATTCTGAAAAGAGACAGGTGCAATAGATGGTAATATAGTTAATATTTTGGTAAATTTCGCATTGTGTTGGGAAATCTGATTGTGAAATTGAGGATCTTGGCACCCGTAATACTCTCTTTCTATTTGCTATGTTTTTGGGTTGCAAATGCAAATGTGACAGCTTTGTATATAGTCCATATACAGTGTTAACAGTGTAATAAATGATAACATCTTATGAACACGAAATACTCTTAATCGTAAGATGCCCCAAGTCCAAAAGTACAACAAGCAACAATAATTTATTTTTCCAAACTCTCATCACTCATTACCTATTTTGTTCCGTGTTGGACTATTTAGACAATGCTATCGATACACATTTTTGTCGGAGAACATTGAAGAATCAAAGAGCCCTTTTTCAACAGTGTTACCAGCTAGAAAACATTGAAATAATATAGTTTACTCAACTCATGGATAGAGGACGCTAGCATTTTCTAACGAATTTTCAGCAATTTTCGATTTAGACATTATTCTTAACACTTTAAATAAGGTCCAATTGGAAAACAAATGTGGAAAACAACCTGATAGCCAGCAAAAATCAATATTTTATTAATTGATCTACAGTGCCATCTGTTTTTCGAAGTTAACTATATTGAATCACAATAGCAAATAATAGATGGCAAAGGGATGTAAAATTTGCCGATACCGCAGTTCTCAAATTTTGTTATTCTTTTCATCACCTGTAAAATCACGTTTTGTTAAAGTGTCATATCACATCAGTAGTTATTAGTCAAGTTATTATATAGTATTTTTTTTATAACAAAAAGTAGTGTGTGGTGTCTATGTGGCTAAATGCTGAAGAAATTGATGAACTGGAAGAAGCTGAATATCGTCTCTCTGCATTTTCCGACTGAGATAATGTTATAGTAGACTGCTTTTATCTGTCACTGGTTTTTTTAGGTAGGATATTTTGATTATGTTTGCGTTTATAATTGATATCGAAAATGCCCTCACTGATGAAACCTTAAGCAAACGTTTCCTTGCACGTCTACAATGAAAATAAAACATCAAATGTCAATAATAACCAAATTATTTCTGGAGTCTGTCTAATTACAGGTTGTGCTGCTTTTGATGTGGCGATTTTATTTTTGGATGTTCGCTAAAGATGAAGACTGATTAGTACTATTATTCCCAAGACCTCTACTAATTGACTCTTTCAATTGGGGTTAAATGATTTGTTCAAGGATATAATGACGTTGTGTATTTATTTAATCAAGAAAGGAAAGACAAGAGATCTGAATTTGGCAAATTACGAATTTAAATTAGCGTCTACGATACCGGTACCGGAAAATAGTAGTCAAGGCAGTGGCTGTTCACTCGGTGCCGGTAATAATAATTTTATTCATATCTATAAATAATAATTTTTCACTAGTTTTTGTTTTCAATCAGACTTTCGTATTTTCATCTGCTGATAACAAATCTGTATTAGGTATCATCAATATCGAGTGGAGAAGTCTAACCTCAAAGAAACGGTTAGTGAACTGTATAAAAACTACATAAAAAGAAGATGCAGAATTCGAAACGGTTGAAATTGGATGAGAGTGTCATGAAAAGAGACTACGTCAAAGCCAAAGAATGTCTTTATCCAGTTCTAGCAGACGATTTGATTATAGACACTCCTCTTACCGAAGTTTACGTAGACTCGATATCAAACCCAAAAAATACCTCCAAAGTGATTGTGGAATTAAATTCAGTGTTACCGCTTCCAGAAATGCTGCACTTGAAACGAGTAAAGGGGCAAGAAGTCCTTCTTTTCCCAATAGAAAAAACCGACAGAAACTCTGTCCATTCCATACTGCAACAAATGAATTTTGACACCACCTTGCTGAAAAACCATGTAAGGACTACCTCTGTGGCTAAAGTTCCTCCGAAAACACGTCTACAGTATGAAACAGCCCATAAGCTATGGCCCTGCAACTTCCACTCCAACAAATACCTAGAAAAACTGGCCACAAACACTTTGTTCACCGCAGATGAACTCCAAAGTCACGTACTGTACATGAGGGTAGCAATCGACGTGGCTAGACACGCAAAAAATATTTTTTTCAATGGGCCTCAAATCGGGGCAGTAGTGGTGGACCCCAGTATTAACTCCGTAGTAGCAGTAGGTTATCAACAAACAAACAGAGGGCCATGTTATCATGCAGCCATGCTAGCAATCGACAACGTTGCCAGGACCCAAAATGGAGGCGCTTTATCTCCTGAAGGTCCTGCAAAAATCTTAGGAGACTTAGATCTACGGGGCCTACCACTAGAACTGCTTGAAATCCTTCAGAATAGACATCCCATGATTCGATTTGGAGCCACTAGATTCAAAACCAAAGAGGAACTGGTTGCGCCGGCTGACGGTCCATACCTGTGTACCGGTTACTGCGTGTATTTGACTCGCGAGCCGTCTGTTATGTGCGCGATGGGATTGATCCACAGCAGGGTAAAGAGAGTGTTCTATGGTGCCAGATCTTCGAATGGTGCGTTGGGTAGTTTGTGCAAGATTCATACCGTGAAAGACCTGAATCATCATTATGAGGTGTGGGGGGGTTTATTGGAGGAGGAATGTTGTGATTTGTGAGCGGGGGCATTGTGACTAGGGACTGTTGATCATTTTAACAACTTGCTGAGTGTATAGAGTGTACACTATTTTAATTTTTGTTGGATGAAAATGCCGAATGTTATGAACAGTTGGGAACTGAAATGATTTTTTATTATATGGACTTCAATTATGCAAGTCATCCTCAGAATATAAAATTTCCAATTAATATTTGTATTAATTTAGAAAAACACCTGAAACATTTTTTGTATGATAATCTCTTGTCGAAAATATCCTCATTTAATTGATGGTCGTGTTACCTATTTTACCTCTTTTAGCAGCCATTTTGTAAATCACTGGCTCCCTCACTAGTCAGTGTGATGAAAGTAAACAGTGAGTGAAAATAGGGAGAATAACTAGTTTCTTAACCTAACTAAAATATTCATAAATTAGGAAGTTGTTAAGAAAAGTAATGAATCCAGTAGGAAATAAAAAAATACTTGATATATGCACAGTACAAACCTGTTATGATTTTATTTAAACAAAATTATTTCAACGTGAAATACTATTATCAGGAATGATGAATGAAAAGGTTGGTTTAAAACTTGTTGGCTGATAATAAAGGCAGTTGAAAATGCAAGATGAAATGTCTACTCTAGTTTTAGATTTAATTTTGAATAATAAAATAGTATATTGTGTAACAAGTGCGTGAAATCGACTTTTTTACACAAGCGTGGAATTTGCGACACGAGCCCTCAGGCGAGTGTCGCAAACAACGCGAGTGTAAAAAAGTCTTCACGCACATGTTGCACACTATACTTTTTCTACGACCATACAGAGAAAATTAAGCACCATTAGTTTAAAGAGCTTTATTGAATTTCAGAATAATTAGTAAGTACCTATATTATAAAATTAACAATTAATTCTTATACTGAGATTATTATTTTTGGTTTTCATTCTGATGTGGAATAATAATGATTATTAATAGTAATATTGGAACCTGTGACCATTCCAAAACTTACACCTGCAGCATTTGATTTTTCTATTAGTGTGTTTCTTGACTTGGAAGTTGAGATGATAGAAGTAGTGGCGATAGGGGCTGAGGAAATTTGATTTTGAGGCGATAAAATTTTATTTGCCACATCAATTTTCTGAGTAATTGAGTTTTCTATATAATGCTCTNTTTTTTTAAAGGCCACATGAAAATTTCCTGATGGTTTCTCTGAAAAGAAATAGCACTGAAAAGCCCTCAACTTTCTTTTATAGAGAAGAGAAAGTAGCAATTATAATGTGAAATTGTTTGAAATTGTTTCGTTCCAAAATAGAGTCAGAAAAGAAATCGGCTAATTCTGGTACTTTGGTATTTCTTCGGAAGTGGTCGGAATTTTTCTTAACGGCATGTTAGTTACCCTTACATTATGCAACTTTCTTTAATACAATCATCTTTGTATCGATTATGGTTTTGGTAATTCCCCCATTGAACACGATATACAGGCTGATTCACGGTGGATGGCACATTAGACGTTTCTGGTGAACCAGACAACGGATCACTTTGAAAATTTAATGGAGGGCATATTCGGACATTCTTTAGCCAACTAAAATATTTTCGACAATGCGGTGTTGCCGCTTCTATTAGAAAGCAGTAGCAACTTTGATTTTTCAAATGGAACACTCTGTATATANGAGGCCTCATTTAAATCGGTCACAAATCTCAAGAGAGGCGGGAGTTATTTTTTTACACGCGCGCGAGACAAATCCAAGACCAAATTGTGCCTTCCTCGTTCGCCAATTGAGACCAATTTAAGCAATTCAAGCCGCAGAGTGCGGTTAGAACGGGACTCAGTCAGACGCGAGTTCTCTCCCACTAGGGCAGTGGTGTCTTGTACTTGGGCGGTGGGGCTATATCGGCAACGTTTCGGACGATTTCTGGCGTTAGGGTTTCGCCAAGACGGCCGGTGAATCGTGAAGCTCCACATATTCGCAGCATCCCTGCATAGGAGGGTTACAAATCGCGCGATAAATGGATTTTGAACCCCGTTTCGTCGTTGATAAGATGCTATTGGTCCACAGCTTTCTCCAAAACCACAGACAGAGAGAAACGACGGGCATAAAAAAATTGTACAACTCGTTTTTCGTTATGTTCTAAAGCGACCCAAGTCGGCCCTTTCAGGATTTCGGAACTGCCCCGGGGAAGCCCCAGGATAGCATTTGTAGTAACCTAGAATAGTAGGTATGGATTATCGGTTGTACGAAAATTCGGATATTCTGTTGAACGACAACTCGGACAGCTCGAAGAATTCTTGGAACATTCCAAACGAGTGTAGCATGGACAACAACGGTGATATTTTCGGATGGAACTCGCTCAAAATCGACGAGGGGGAAGGAAAGACCTCGCGTAAGAGGAGGATCTCCTTCGGGGAGGAGGAGAGGAAGGTCAAGGGTGGGTACAAGATGGCGAAGGACCCCCTCTCGCTGGACGGCAAAGGCGCGGGAAAAAAGTCCGGCGGGCATAAAGGTGAGTTGGTTTATTATTATTATCAACAAAATGGTAAGACTGGTGATAAGTTTTGTCTCTAGAGCACTTAGATCTAAAAGAACATGATTTTGGCACCTATCAGAACGACAAAAAGCTTTTTTCAGTTGAAACAACTTACTAGTGATGCCAATTTGATTGGAGTCTTTAGTTCTATAAAGTTTCTACAATTATTCAAAACTGTTTTGGCGTTTTACACAAAGAAATATAATTTGGAATTGTTTTAGTTATTTTTGGTAACATTGTTATAAATAACCAAAAGCCTGCTAAGTTTCCTGTTCTAACACCACTTGCTTTTATCTTTTGTGTTATTCCTCCAGATTCAGATGTATCATTTAAAAAAAAGTAGAACGTACCTTGATAAGAACAGTTTGTCAACAGGACCTAAAATCTGATGAAAGCAAAAGCAATGATGCTCTCCCCAGCTGAATTTTTATGATTATTTAATTTCCTCATACATTTAATGCCGTGAATGAAACAGGAAATTTTAATAAGGAAACCACAATAATAAATGTTTGTTGTATTTTTTCAGTGAATAATATTGATTTTTTATCAAGTTCATTGAATAGTTTGGCAATGAATATTCAGTTTGAAATATTACTGATGAAATGAATTGATTTGAAATTAAATTTTCAAATTAATCCATTCAAAAACTTTCTGAAGTAACATACTATTCTCGTCCACAATACTTGCTCAAGCATTTTTAGCGGAACTTTACGATAACAAACGTAAAATTTCGAAGTAATTTCAATACAAAATAGCATTTAAATTTTTTTGTGTTCCTTGAGTTTCGCAGCGCCATCTTGCGGCATCTCGTCATCTGTAAACTGAATTAATTAATGGTTGCCAAATACTCGTATATAAAAACCTCTCCCAAATTTTTCTAATTCTCTCCCAGTACATGCAAACGTCTTATCTCCATTGTAGACAAATTGCGGACAATTTCATTTATCAGCACAAAGAAAAATTGCTCTTGACGTCAATGATAGTAATTGGTGTGCGACCTTTTGAATTAGAAGGAGTAGCACACTGGTAGCCGATTGGTCGACCGCCCAAACGAGCTTAAGCAGCTTTAATAGCGTTGTTAAGACGCATTCCTCGACCGTTCAAATTCGACAGGGGCGTATCAAGGGGGATAGCGGCAGGGGTTTGTCCTTCTGTCATGATGTGAATGTTTTGCCAAGATAGGTCTGGAAAATCGGTATTTCCCTAATGACTACCGTCGCTTTGGTGGAATTTGGACCAACTGAAATCTGTTTATTCAATTAGGCAGGGTGGGACTGGTGCAGATTGTTCTTTTACTTGAATTCAGCTGGCTGTTAGTTGATGAGAGTATATTACGCTTACTAATACAGTTTATTGTGCTTTCCACTATGAAAGGTAGACAAACTCCTTTTGGGTAACATTCATAATGGAAATCACAATAAATGTATTAGTAAGTTCTTTTGCTTAATTTTTTACAGATATTTTACGATGAAAACACCCGTGTTCAACTATTGTTTCTCAAGTTTCGACGTAATATAATATCCAAAGGGATTCTTGCATTGCCATCTGAAAAACTTTGAAACAGGATGAATTTTGAAGAGTGATTATTATGTCGTGATTATTATTGTATCAAATAAAAATCAAGAAACCCAACATCAAAATCTGTTTGAAAATCTGTTTGAAATCTTGTTTTTCCGTTAATCAGCTGTCACCTCTATACGAACGACAACTCTCAGAAGTTGAGAAACTTGTGCGAGTTGAAGACTAACGAGGTCTTACCTTTTAACGTGTGATTCCTAACACGGAGTCTGAAGACTATAATACATAGAAAATTAATTTTCAAAAATGAGATAATCAATTAGTAAAACAGAAACTGCTTTTGTGTGCCCGTACAGGCATGAAAATACTGTTTTTGTCACCTACTCAAGCATTGAAGAGTTTTGCTTTGAAAAAAAAGAACGTTCAATGTCCTTGCTATTTCAAATAATCTCTGACTGCCACTCATTTCACGATAAATTTCAGGGTCGGTGAAAATCCAACATTGGGAAGTTGAAGACTATGAGGATCTGAATACAGACATCGAAAGCTCTTTGAGTTTGGGAGGCAATGACTTGGTCAACAATTCCTATGCCGTCAAGTGAGTATATGTAACGTAAAGCACTCCCATTCCTCCATAATCTGTTTAAAAATCTGTTTAAAAATTTGTTTAAAATCTGTTTTTCCGTTAACCAGCTGTCGCACCCCTACGAACGACAACCCTCAAAAGTCGAAACTTGTGCGAGCTAAGGATTAACGAGGTCTTACCTTTTAACTTGTGATTCCTAACACCAACCAAAATTGTGATTCATAGTAAGTTGGTGTATCTAATGTAACGATGATTCTACCCAGTATATCAGTCACTGTGCAGAGTTCGTTGATGAATATATGTTTTTCTCAAGCTACTCAATATAGTGGAATAAAGGACAATGTGCAACTATTTCAAGGATACATTGATTTTAATTTTATTGTTTTTCCATATATTTCAACTGTGTTGACACATTTTAAGACTGTTTTAGCCAGATTCGCTGTGATGTTTAATTAGAGGTTAGAATGATTTTATGTGAATTGTCCATATCCGACAATGATGTTATTTGGTGTGCATCAACTTTTTCTTGGTTGGCCGCCTTATAAGCATCATCTTTATGACAATTGACACTAATGACAAATAGACAGAATAGCCAACTCAGAATCAGTCATGTGTACAAAACAAAATCTTCATTGATATAGACGATAAAATGAATAACCTTCAAAAAGAAAATAAAAGTCAAAATGGGCATTACAAGCAGTAACTATATAATATGCTTGACACTAACAATAATATAGACTATCCCACATGTGCTCCAAACGAAAACCTCAGAAATGTTCTTTCATTTATGACGCAACAATTTGGATATGTGTTTTCTCTTCATACTTCGGACCTACATGTAATTCTTAACGAGGCGTATGATTCTAAAGCCAAATTGTTATCTTCTTACGGGAATTGTAAATAACTTTTGGAGCATACGGTTGTTTTCATACATCTGATTTATAAGATGAATAGGAATATGATAAAAGGATGTACGAAAATCTACATATCTTATCTCATCTACGTCATTGTCTCAACTAGTTGAATAATTATAATATTGACATCAGTTTTGGAATATTTCTACCAGACTATCTATCTTTTATCTATTTTAAGATCGAGTTGTGATTTCCTCGGTTCATGGGATATTCTCGTGTCCATGTGCATTTCATATATACAGTGGAGATTAAACAATATGAGTTTTGTGAAATTTTATTTTCATACTGTGCATACGATTTAGGATGGTTTAGTTGAAGAGGAGGTAAAAAACATTCTGCATTCATCAGAGTTTTAAAATTGAATGTGAAGACACGCTGAAGCTAAACTTATTGTAACTCAAAAAGGGGATAGTTGAAACTCTTCAATGAAGTTCATATCTGAACCTCCTCCATGTAAAATTCTCAAATACAATGGAATTGAGCATTAATTTTGTCTATCTAGTGATATTTAAAGGCAATAAATTGGTACGAGGAAGATCAAACTTTGTTTGACTTTTCCTTTGAAGATGATCACTTGGTGATCGAAACATGTGTCGAGGTGTTAAAAATAACGATTTGGTGTTGGGAAAAAACTCCAGTAATATTCATTACTACACCAAAGGTTCCAAACAGTGCATCATAAGTTCAAATTCAAAGATAGAAAACGCCTAATGAGAGACCCTATATCACATTTTTTTTCGATTTTCTAGCGAAAATATGCTATCGATGAACGGAATGACAGTCTTCAAACAAGAAGCCCCCTCCCCGACGTCCAACGACGTGACCACCCTGCAAGTGACCCACAAACACAGACAGAGCCCTTCCTCCACCCACCATGGCGCCGCCGTCGTCAACAGTACCATGGAGGACAATACCAGCCAGAATATGTTCAACAGCACCATCAACCAGCTACTCACGCAGAGCGGCTTGGTTGGATTGCACAACGTCATGGATGGTGAGTGTCGGAGGGTCTGCTACTTTTTCCGTTTTTTTTTCAGCCCTGTTCAGCAGTTCACAGTAGTTCTTCAGTTGTGATAATACCTGAAATTTTAACAAATTGTCCTAAGTTTCTGGGTTTATTAGCCGTTTCGTCTGCTACTGTAGCAGACATTACCAAGGCGAGGGGATCTATCTTGTCGCGATGCTCATACTGATGCGTTTGTACTCATAATAGGACTAGGTGTCAAACCACCTGATTGGTCTGAACCTTCTTCAATTATTGGGAGAACCTTTGTGTTGTAAAGTGCCGGTATCCATGTCTTGTTGATGTGTGACTTTTCTTTCTTACGGTTAAAATTATTTATTATGTCATGGCTGCCCTCTGAGAGAGCGTGTTCTGATACTGTCGATTCATCTGTTCGGCCTCTCTCAGAGGACAGTCATGACATGGTCCTTGAACGCACGGAAGTTATTGATGAAACTAGGGGTTACTATCCGAGACTGTTCACAGAGGACATACGAAAACATAAACTTTGGAATAATTTCTACAGTAAAGAAGAGAGCCTAAACGTCAACAAGACATGGATACCGGCACTTCATTACACAAAGATTCTCCCAATAGTTGAAGAAGGGTCAGACCAACCAGGAAAAAGAGCAGCGGTTGTTCGACACCTAGTCCCATTATAAGTACAAACACACCAGGACCATTTTCAGTTAGATCATTGCAGCAAGGTAGATCAGTTCGACCGTTGTAGCAGAAGAAACGTCAAGTATAAAAACCTGCAGTCAACGGCTAATAAACCTGGAAACATAGGACAATTTGTTAGACTCCATAACCTGAAGTTTTATCAAGCATTCAGCAGTCTTTCTTCAGTTACTGTCATTGTTGTTGAAACCTAATCAATAGTCTTGATTTTTAATCGGCAGTTGAATAGTTTCTCATCAATTTCACTAGTTCGGATTCCATTGTCTATTATATAAAATGATTTGAAATCCCTGAAACAAATAAAAAAGAAGAATTGAAAATGAATAGCTGAAAATAACAATTATATTAACCAAAATAAACCTGAAATGAAATAATAGTGAAATAAAATACAAGTAAAAATAGAACAATTGAATAAATTAAAAAGAAGAAATGAAAAAAGAAAATGAAAATAAAAGTGGAGAGATTCCAAGTCACGTTAGTTCACGACGTTTCGATTGTTAGTATCTACAATCGTCTTCGGGTGATGACTGGACTGATTCCTCCGAGAGATGACTATTTATAGGTCGTTCGAGTACTTTCACTTATCCCCGCCTTCCATTTTCCGCTTCACTGGTTCCGTGGGAGATGACCGTTTTGGCGGGAGTTGGCCATTTTTCGCTTGATGATGGGTTTCCATTAGTTGCGTATTTCTACGCTGGCTTGGCTGAATACGTTGTTGGACAACATGTATGCGGCCTCCTTGAATTTTCTCCTAAACCAATGTTCCTCTCTGTGCAAGATCTCAGCTTGGGACCACTCGATATTGTGTTGATGGGTCCAAACATGGTCTGCTATTCCTGATTTGCTGGTTTCCCCTCGCTGTGTGTGTTTCTTGTGCTCGGCAATGCGAACATTCAATGGCCTCTTAGTTTCGCCAATATAGGATTCTCCACACTCACAGGGTATCCGGTGCAATTCTTGGAATCGCAGTCCGCGTTTGGTTGCCTGGTTTTCGTGAGGCTGCTACGGATAGTGTTACCGGATTGAAGCAGGTTCTGATATTGTACTTGGAACCAATTCTTCTTATCCTCTCCGATAATCCTCTGATGTAGGGAAGTGCAAGCACTGGTTGTGACGGCTTCTCTTCCTTGCGAGGCTCCTGCTGTCTTCTAGCCAAAGTCTTTTCTACCATCGCTTTGGAGTAGCCATTCCGTTGAAGATCATTTTTGATTATGTCTAGTTCCTTCTCGAGACCTTCCTTCGTATTACAGAGCCCAAAAGCACGGTCTAATAGAGTCTTGATGATTCCTCTTTTAGTCGATTGATGGTGGTTGGATTCGTGGTTCAGATACTGTCCCGTATGAGTGGGTTTTCGGTATACAGATGTTTCCCACTTAGTGTCGGTCCTCTTCACCAAAACGTCTAAGAATGGCAATTCGTTGTGGATTTCCTTCTCCATTGTGAAATTGATGGAAGGTCTCACGCTGTTGATGTGTTTCAGGAAGGCGTCTAGTTCAGTATTCCCATGGTTCCATATTATGAAGGTGTCTTCAACATATCTCAACCAGACTCGAGGTTTCTTGTGGGCTTCTTCAATGGCCAGAGTTTCAAACCACTCCATATATATGTTGGCTATGACTGGTGAAAGTGGCGATCCCATTGGCAGTCCCTCATCTTGTGTAAAGAATTCGTCCTTCAGTTGGAAATAACAGTTTCGTACACAGCATCCTAGTAATTCCATGATTACTTCTATAGGAAGATTCGTTCTCTCTTTCAGGTTCCCGTCTTCGGATAGCTTTCTCTGTATGATTTGGAGTGCTTCTTTGACCGGAACGTTGATGTAAAGGCTTTCCACGTCGAAACTAATTAGTGTGACCTCAATTGACCCTGGTAGTTCGACAAAATGCCTTGAATTCTTCACAAAAGATGATGTTTTTTCTTGTAATGGTTGTATCAAGGGAAGTAAAAATCTAGACAAGTTTTGAGTAGCCGAATCTCTGGAGCTGATGATCGGTCTAAGCGGAACGTCCTTCTTGTGAATTTTGGGTAGTCCATGCAAGTGAGGTTTTGGTACATGGGATGTTTGTTCCTCGCTTGGGGCTTTATTCACGAGATGGAGCTGTTATCAGTTAACAATCTTTCTCTTAGGCGAAGATTTCGTATATGCAGCGGAGCCGCGTTGAAATAAATCGAGTCTCAGACACTTTTCTGTCTGAGTCGGATCTTTCCGCGGCCTGCAGGTGATCTACTCGAATAATTTCACTATAGTCCTGCTGCTAGATCTGCGGGACTGAACTCTATGAGGCATCTTGCATGAATGTCTGTCGGATATAATTCAATATCCAGCATGGTATTAGCCGGGAAAGTTGTTGGGAGTGATGAATGTTTCAAAATGTCATTTCGTTTTGGATTTGGGTCAATAGTTGAACGGTTAATTGTCACTCCGATCAGCAGTTGAAAAACATTCTCTAGTCAGTTCTGGTCATGAATTAACAGAAAATCTTACTTCCAGCCAACAATCTTTCTTCTCAAAACTCTGCCGACAGTTACACAGTATCGTCCACGAACTACAATCTGATCGAAGACAGTCGCTTTCAATATGTCCTAGCGGCAGCTACCAGCATAGCCACCAAACAAAACGAAGACACTCTGACATATCTGAACCAGGGACAGAGCTACGAGATCAAACTGAAAAAGCTCGGAGAGTTGTCGTTCTACAGGGGGAAATTATTTAGAGTAAGTACAGTTCAGTTTTCTTCTGATCCGATCTAGTAGTAATGAGTGATGTTTTGCTGGTATATTTTTGGCAACACTGTTTTTGACAGATCCCGCGTGAATCGTGTCTTGTGTCATCGTCAACCTTTTACAGTTTGGTCTATAATTTAATCATGAATCGACTTACGCATGAACAACGCTTGCAAATTATTCATGCTCGGTGAAAAAAGTGCATCGTGCACTTCTTCCAATTTATGGGCAGTTTCGTCGGCCTACTGAGGGAGCTATTCGGAAGCTTGTGACTAAATTTCGAACCCAGCTTACATTATTGGACATTGAACCACCAACACGCATACGTAGAGTGAGGACCGAAGAAAATATCGCGGCTGTATCCGCCAGTGTTCGTGATGACCGTGAAATGTCGATTCGCCGCCGTTCACAGCAATTGGAACTCTGTTACTCCACTACGTGGAAAATTTTGCGAAAGGATTTGAGTGTAAAACCTTATAAGATACAGCTGGTGCAAGAATTGAAGCCACACGACTTCCCACAACGTCTAACATTTGGTGAATGGGCGCTGGCAAAGTTGGAGGAAGGTCCACATTTTTATCGAAAAATTGTGTTCAGCGACGAGGCTCATTTCTGGCTGAATGAATAAGTTAACAAGTAAAAATTGCCGCATCTGGAGTGAACGCCTTTGGATTATTTCTTGTGAGGTTATGTTAAGGCAATATTGAAGCATTTATACGTGAAATACCGGTCGATATGTTAGAGAGAGTGTGTCAAAATTGGGTCATCTAAAGCGGAGCTGCGGACAACATTTGCATGAAAGTCGGTGACCACGCAGTTTACCTTTGATATTCAAAGAAGAAGAAAAAGTTTACGGGTGCCAAATCAGGGCTGTACGGCCATCAATTCGATGTTTTGACGCTCATAACTTCACTTGTTTGACTGGCCAAAACTTCACTTGTTTGACGAGATGTGTGAGAGCTCGCGATGTCATGATGGAGGATGATTCATCTTCGGTGGTTAGTTTTACGAATTTCTCCGAAGACTTCCGGCAAATAATGGTCGTGTGCCACTGAGAATTGACCGTTCTACGTTGCTTAGGCTACGGAATAAGAAACAAGCGACCATTTGCTTCGCTGTGCTATTTTCACGAACTACCTTTGTTGGATTTAGCTCGTCTTGGAATACCCACACGGTCGATTGCTGTTTTGTTTCCGAATGCCTCAATCTCACAATATGTCTCACGATGACTTTGCATTATCAGTTCACGCACTGCATCGTGAACAACCGATTTTGGACGACCTTCACGGAATTCGTCGGCGACCGAACCCCAACCACGATTGAATTCGCTATACCAGCGATATACTGTAGTTTTGATGGTGCTTTATCGCCATACAAAAAAAATGAGTTCATTGACACACTTTTGTTGAGATAATCCCCATCGAAAGTTGTGAAAAATAATCTAGCAAAAACATTCTCTTGAAATTTCCATTTTTTGGTCAAACTTGTACTTCAAAACGTAATGGGTAGGTTTATTCTAAAAAATATCAAACTTTATTATGGTGTTGCCATATTTTACCTATTGACATTAGTGTTGCCAGTTCACGAAATATAAATAATCCCCATCGTATGTAGAAAGTTTGAGTACACTATATATATAGAAGTTCAAATAAAAATATATGCTGGTATGTAAAATTTTCACCAGAATGTTCTGTTGAGTAAAGACAAAGCCCAATTTTTGGCTTATGAATTCTTGAATCCGGAAATTCTAGTATTTTTAATGTATAATTCATAAACCTGCTCTAAAGAAGAATAAAATAATCCAAGTTTCCTCATTTTTGCATAT